GTTGAAGCTGGCTATTTTAGGTGATATTAATTACTTGGTAAGCTTCTCAATCTTAATTTAGTTATTACAAGTCAATAAAATAGCATAGTTTTACTCCGAGGATACGTAAGTGGTGCACAGCAAAAAAAAAAGACCTCAGCCCTATCATCTTCCTGCGACTGTGTCCCGTACAACATACGTGTTAGTACGAAGTCTCTTTGTCTCTCGGTCCTTGGCGACCCATTTATTTAGAAAACCGAAAGTCTAAGCGGTTTTCGGTACCCCGTAGTACATATTCATGTTATGGTACAAGATCGTCTGCCTTGTGGTCAGAGGTCGGCAGCCAAGAGTTTCCCCTGCATGACGGGGAGATATGTGTGGTGGCTGTCGCATTTACGCATACGGAGTATCTACGTATTAACTATCTACAACATACACATACATAGCTAATCCGTAGTATGTTCTAGAACCGGCATATTCCGCCTCGTGTGGACCGGTACCCGCTTTTCCTCAATCCAAAAAGGTTTAAGGGTCTCGGGAAATTGATCAGATAGGGTTCTCCAGGACCTCCAGGGCTGTCAGGTATCATACCCAGTAATACACGTGACAATACACAGGTGCTTGGCAAAGTCGGGTGGTGGCGGGCCAAGATCACGCAATTTTAGTCTCAACCCGACACATCCATTTAGACCCATCTGAATTTACCCCCTAGTTCAGGAGAACTTGATGGCTTAGGGGTGTACGGGACAAGAATATCCAGAATCCACAACTTTGTCACTTCCAAAATGCGGCTTGCACGTACATTTACGACCTTGCTGGCAGCTGTGGTTGCTTCGGCCACCATTCTCGAGAACGGTCAAGTGAGAGAGAATGCATATCCCGGCCAGTTACAACCGGTGACTTTGGACGATTCATGGAGGAACTATCCCGCGGATGCCCCGGAGATCTCTTACAAAGGTCGATGGGATAGTCAACACATCTCTTGTATGTTCCCCGCTCCTCTTCCCCGGATTCTGGTTTTAACCTTAATGCTAACCTTGGAACGAACCTCAGGGTGGTCGTATGTATGACTCGCTATTATTTTGTCGGCTTTACTAAGTAATGATACAGTGCACCGGGAATCAAAGTCGAGTTCTCTGGGGAAAAGGTGCGTCTTGTTTACTCCGATTAACCTTAAAAATGGGGTCCACATCGTAACATCATTCTAGCTTGCCGTCCACTTCGGCCCAAGCACCAACACGGGTGTTCTGGTGGCCTACCGGTATGCATACATCTCACTCTTTATGTATTCATTGTGCTAACCCTTGACAGGATTGGCTCTCTTGATTGGCAATTCTCTAATATCACCGCCTCCTCCACATATCAATTTGTTGGTCCGTGGTCAGAGCTCAAAGATGGTGATGAACCCGTCGACAAAAATGTCTTTGAGATGAGAGGTGTGTATCCCAAATTCCAGTGGTAACCTATATACTAACTGCATTACAGTCACAAATTGGGGCATTGGATAAGTCTCTCCCTGTCGTTCAATCTGTTCGTTACTTACCGTCCACACAGTCCAAATCGCTGGTGTTGCTGTCGCGAATGACGCCGTCCTTACCAAGGCCCCGACCTTCCCAAAGAGAGTTGAGATTATTGGGGGCTCGTAAGTTTCCACACCTTGCCAGCTAGTCTTCCATGCAACTAACTGTCCCCAAGGCTTGCATCTGGACAATTTGCCACCTACGAGACAATCTCCTCGTGGTCCTTCCTCTTCGCTAACGGCTTAGGAAATGTCGAATACGGCATCACGGTCAGTCCGCTCCCACCTGGATTTCTGAATTCCGAATATGCTGACAAGTCTCGCAGGCCTATCCCGGCGTGTGTCTCGCCGATGAACAATGTTACAACGGCGGCTCTCGCGGTGTAGTATGTCATCAACCTCCCATTTCCCCTAGAAACCCCATCATCAACTAACAACGCCACTAGGGATGGTACTGGCACCGTGCCTCGGACCCGGGCTCTCGTGCGCGATCAATCTACGACCGCAATCCCGAGAAGTGGGACGTCAAGGCAGAGCAACCGGCCGATCTTGTGATCATTCAGATGGGCGGTAACGATCATCGCCATCCCAACGAAATCCCCGGCAGGGATTACTACCATGCCTACGTCGACTTGGTCGAGGATATCCACTCTAACTGGCCTAATGCAATCATCATCCTCATGGTATGTACCTCTTCTATTCACAGCTTGGTCTGTAAATGGTCCATCCGACTAACTTCAACAGTCCCAATGGGGAGGATTCACCAAGGAAGGAAAGAAGTACGTCGGTAGCACTTACTACCAGGAAGAGACCAGGGAAGTCAATGAGCACTTCAAAGACCGTGGTTTCGTCTACTATTTCCCCACCGAGGGCCTTCTGCAGCATAACGATATCAACCCCAAGAACCATCTTACGGATGTGGGACATGTTAAGATTGCGAGTCACTTGTTGCAGTGGGTTAAGTTGGTTCTCAGGTGGAACCTTGAGCCTACGGGCGAAGTCCAATCTGGAACTACCTACTGGAACGATCAGCAGGAATACTGATTGTTCTGAGATACTGAAATTGGGGCCGGGTGGTTATCTGGCCTTTGTACATTTATTTATTGATACTCGGCGCGGTGTAGATAAACTGCAAGAACATATAGAGCATATATGGCGCCTTTTGGCATTGTACTTTTTGCGCATTTAAGTTTCCTATTCGAAGTCGGTTGAATATTTATTAATATTTGAAAGGAAGGCATATTATTAGGTAAAGCTCATATATATAATATATAACCGTTGTCGTAATATATCACGGGGATCCTCAAAATTATTCCACTTTAGAGACCGTTAGGACCCCATAATCCATGGCGGTTCTACCTACCCAAAACACTCCCAATTCCGGTGGCGCACTCTAACGAGAGAGATAATAGGAGTGAAAGTACTATGTACTATGCACCGCTATTACAAACTAGTGTTTATCCAAAAAGCAAAAAAAAACAAAAAGCTGGGGACAGAGTTATTGGATCGACGTCCGTACCCAAGTTGTTTGTATGCCGCTATTGATTACCGCATCTGGATACCTCCAAGAATAGGGCAGGAGTCATAGTCACCAAAATAGGTAGGTATAGTACCAAAGATATTAAAGTGGTGAAAGCTATTTCGATCCACCCCGTATCAACTCAAGCGTTGAAATATTGCATCAAGCGGGGTAGTGTGTGCCTTGCCATCTTTATCCGATCTATGAATGTCATCCCCAGGCTGTGTGATGTGGCTTGCATCAGTGTTTACCCAAACAGGTTAATTCTCCAATTTATTTTCGTGGTCTTTCTTCTTTTCCTCCGCTGAGAGCTCCGGTGTATTCGAAATTAGCTGCACATGTTTATCCAGTGGATAGCGCCGTAAAAGACTGACTGGCACCCAACAATACTTTTGCGGTGCACCTTTCAAGAACCCTTCCAAGATGGCCTTCTCCAAGCTGATAGGATGCTTCAACATCCATAGCTTGATTATTTCGTAGCCATATTTGGACTTCTTCGTACCCGCGTTGAATTCCGTATTGCCAATCCCGCCGTCTTCCGGAACCTCGCCTGGAATTTTCCCTGGGGATATGCGAGCGACATACGCGATTTGCTTGACGGGGAGAGTGGTGTAGAACCAGATGCGGTGAACCTTCTGCGGGAGTAGGTAACCACGATATTCATGGTTCTTCGCGCCAGACGCGATATTGCCCATGTGCTCGGGTTTGATGCTCATGAAGATATCTGAGCTCGATTTTGCCATTGCGAGACTCGGCATGAAGTGTCCAACTCAAAGGTATTAGATGATCTCTTCGTGGAATTAGAAATGTGCAGCACAGAAAAAGCTCAAAAGGTTTGATTTGGCGGTGAGTGCTCTAATCCGAGGTCAGTTGGTAGTCTGATCGGCGCCCCTCACAGCTGAGAGGATAGTCACATTTGGCCTGAACGCGGATGAAAAACAGACTGTGGAAGAGCCAGAAAGTGCTAATTATCCATCTCAATTTGCTTTTTATTGAGATTATCACTGTGAATCAGTTGGTGTTTGGGGAAAGCCCAAGTCTCCGGAATTTTGGCCTTGCGATGAAATAGTCAAATCTGTACTCCATACGAGCACCAACACAAGCCTAACTTCCAATAATTCATGCAAGTGGCTTTCCTCTGTGCCACGACAATGTTTGAGTCAGGCAAGACGACGGAGAATGGTCAAATAATAGCATGCACCTTGACTTAGGTCATTGGATTGTGAAGCTGGTCGGCAGCGCTTATTGTACTGAGACGTGGGCCTGAAGATGTCATCACGGGCGGCCCGGCGCTTCTTAGCGTGTGACGCTCCTACTTTGATGATGTGCATGGAAGTTGGGCCATGGGATTGCACTCTTTGGTGTGTGGTGGGAAGGACGACTAGGGTCCCGGCTCCCGATGGCCTAGTCTCCGAACTTCGGTCCGGTCGGGATTTATGTACATCGGCCTTTCTGGGTGGAGATGAGAGTTATGCATAGATCTGGGATATAGATTGTATAAAAAGAGATCGACTGCTCTTGCAATTCTCATAATTCTCAAGTCGACTCTAACAAGGTATCTCTACAAATACCTAAATTCAAGACTGAATTGAATATCTCCTATTCCTCCTATTCCTCCTATCCTTTCCCATCATTTTATGCCCAATAGGGCAATTGCCGAGGTATCCAGAACATTTCATTCGCCAAGCCCTTTATGTTCTTCCCAACGATCCACATGCCATAAAAAGATTGGTGCTGGAGATCAAATAGTCCCAACCGTTGTTGTTCGACCAATGCTATATCTCCTGCACCGGGATAACTTCCACATTAGGCGACTGGCCACTGGAGCAGATTTTCTTGTCTTTCTTCTTTTTTTTTTTTAAGAACACTGGCATATAACAAGACCGGGCCAACAAAGACTTCAAACTTGTCGCACTTTTGAAGTAAAGTTAGATCAAAACTATCCCCTTGCGCAGGTATTACTCTGCAGCCCATACTTTCACAATGGTTCCAAAACCCATTCCATTCCCGGGCTTCACCCCGATATCTGATCGAGTATACCTTCGCAATGGTCACGAGAAGGCCAAACCAGCTCCAGCCGACGAGCCAACAACGATTATCATTTCCGGCTGGGGCGACGGCATGCCGAAACACGTTACCAAATATTCCGACGGCTACCATGAGCTCTACCCATCCGCGCGGATCATCGTTATCCTATCGACTACCTTCCAGGCCACCAACCAACCAGAGGAAGCCAGAATCCAGGCCATGATGCCGGTCGTCGACACCGTCTTCCCTACGCCAACCGGCAGCGGAAACGAAAAGGAGCGCCTTCTCCTGCATGCCATGTCAAATACAGGCGCCATTTTCACTGCCTCCATCGTCGTCGCGTATCAGCGACGCTATGGAACAGACAAGCCATTCCCCCACGAGCTCTTAGTGCTGGACTCCACGCCTGGAAGTCTGGACTTCACGTCTCAGGTTACCCGGTGGTCGCGTGCCATGGCGGTCGGCACGGCCAAGTTCTTCCCTTGGTCCTTCATTATCACACATGGTCTGTGGTATGCTTTCCTCTGGGCGAATTTCCTGTGGCAACTCTTGAGCGGTTCCGTGTCTTCGGGCGTTTGGGCGGATGGAATCATAAATGATAAGTCTTGCGTCGCGGCCGGTTCTAGCAGGGTTTACCTTTACTCTAAGGAAGATGAGATTATTGGTTACAAGGATTTGGAGGAGAATGTCGCCCATGCCAGGACATTAGGCTATTCGGCTGATCTTGAGATGTTTGAGGGCTCGCCGCATGTCGGCCATATGAGACTTCATCCTGAACAATATTGGAATAAAATTTCCAGCTCATGGAAGCAGGCCATTGCGAAATAAGGTACCCTGGGGACTGGATATATTGCATTTTGCATTTATATTTATAGCTTAGACCATGTTTAATAATTGTATAGAGCGATTTCATTGATAGTCTGATTAATATCACTTGCTAGTTTCCAGAACAAGGTTGATCTCCGGGATGTCGATTAAGCCCTGCGATCCGCTATATCGGTACAAGACTTGTCTTAGGTTATACTTGTTTATACAAAAGGAACTGGCAAGATATTCAAAGGTAGCAATTCGTAAGTCAATAGATCAGCACTAACAATCTGGGCCTTCCAAGGCAATGCGAAATGAGTACACAAAGACAACACCACATCCACTCCACTCTGGAGGTTCAACCTAATCACGATCATCAGGATGGAAAACCAATGCTCGCACTTCAATACTCTCTCTTCCCGCTTCATGCTCCGTTTCCGGGTTAACAAAAGCAGTATGGGGCACACGACGAGCTCTTCCATCAACCTTGGAATCAAAACATTTGATAAGTGTCACCAGGTCCGGAGTCTGCCCATAGCGGTAATACCACTTGATATTCGGATCGGGCTTGACGGCATATGTCTCACCTTCGCGGTCTGGGTATATGAGCCCGATGGGAACAAGGTCACTATCTGGGACTGAGTGGGCATCCGCCACCGCCAATGGATCCTTCAGGATGGTTTTGATCGGACGCCAGACGTTGATGATCTGGTATCGGCCCTTGAGGAGCTCGGGAGCCTCGTCTGGGAGATGGTGGGAGACTCTGTTTTTGGACGCAGTGTAGGATTGATCAATGTGTACGCGCTGCACAGGTCCGCGGAGCTGGCTAGTAATGGATCTATCAGTTTGGGCCCGTCGGATGGTATGGTCGAAGATGAAGATACGAGAGGCACCCGTGCTATGTAGGTCATTGTTAGTTTCATTTGAGTGATGTTGATGGCTTCAGGAGTGCATACGCGTCTTTAAGTAGTTGTTCTGTTTCCGGGTAATATTCTCTCTTGATCTTCTCATCGTCTAGGAAGTCTTTCTCTTGGCTTTCGTGATAGTAAAGCTGGAATCCATGGCTGTCTAGCTTGTAGTCCAGCTCATGGCCACTGATATCGTGGATGGTGGTCACGAGAGGAACCACCGGTCGATCATAAGTCTCTGGTTTGCCAACATAAGATGGTGCCGGGGGAGAGCCATCTTCGTTCTCTTTGTAGAAGTTGAGTGTAGCCTGGACATGGTGAGGCTTTTCGGAGACTGGGACTCTGGGGTTTTCTGAGAGCAGAGAGCCGTGAGAACCAGGAAGTTGAACAGCTGCAGAAGCCATAGTGAGTTATTTGCGTTGTAATTTAATGGAGCTTGGAACAGATGACTTCGATAGATGGTTCTTTATATAGCTGTTTGCGGGGTGAGTTCTATTTGTCAGAATACAGCACGCAATATTCGTATGACATGGAGAAATGCTGATAAATGCATAGCTTTGAGGGATACAAGAATCAAGTCGACTGGTAAGCCCTGCAGTAGTACCAGATGGTACAGATGGAATTATATTATTAATTGACGTGCATATGCCATTTGTAATCTCGCATTCCCCGGAAGATCATTTGGTGATTGAGATGACGCCACTCGATATCGAATATACGAAAAACGGCATTGGCCAAGTTTAACCAAGCATTCATTCTAATGTAGTTGATTGCATTTCTTTCTGGGTAGGCACAGGGTAGATGTGATATGAAACCAACAATAGTGCGCTCCTATGAAGCCCATCTAGTAATCACGTGGTTTATACTCCCATGAGATGTGTTAAAAGATATTAAGTAAACAGCATAAACCACACTCTGCAGTTATAGAGGACTTGTCTTTCTATAGATATTTATCGCTAATCTTCTTCGAAGTTATAGAAAACAACCTAGCATGGCCACCAAGGTCCTCCGCTCAACAAAGTCAAAAGCAACGCCGTCTTTCCCCTCCTCGGCAGTCTTTCACCCGCATCAGATCACAGCCTCAGCATTTAATAAATCCAAGCGGGGGCTAATAGGATCACTTTATATTTAAGCAAGCATCCCTAGAGTCTTGGTCTATTTTAAAATCCCTGTGATTCATATTATCCAACCCCATCAGCATGGCAGTCATCCAAGCAAAATGGACCAAAGTCGTCGAGGCTGAGGTCTTACGGCGATCGTCCCAGGTAGTCTCCGTCATTGACGGACAGGTTTACATCTTTGGCGGGGAGTTGCGGCCACGAGAGCCGAGAGACAATAACGTTCACATTGTTTCACTTGGACGTCGTGAGTCTCCCTATTTCTACAAAAAAATCCCAAATCTGATGCCAGCGCATACAACTAACAGATCCCATAGCCGCAACCCTATCTACCAAGCCATCCACCGACAAATCCCCTTCGCCGCGAGTCGGGACCGCCTCGGCAACCCTCAATGGCAAAATCTACCTATTCTCCGGACGCGGGGGCGCAGCAATGGCACCGGTAGAAGAAAGTGGCGCTATTTGGGAATTCAACCCCGCCTCAGACGAATGGTCACTCCTATCACCATCCGACGCAAACCCGTCCTCTATCCCGGCAGCGCGCAGCTACCACTGCACAGCCAGCGACGGCAAAGACACCGTGTTTATCCACGCGGGCTGTCCGGAGAAGGGCCGTCTATCGGATCTGTGGGCATTCAGTGTATCCCAGAAGCAGTGGACGGAACTTGCTTCGGCGCCGGATCCACCACGCGGTGGAACCTCTATTGCATTTGCCCAGGGTAGGTTGTATCGGATGAATGGGTTTGATGGGGAGCGGGAACAGGGTGGCAGAGTAGATGTGTATGAGCCTGAAACCAATATGTGGAGCTCGCACTCGTTTGTTTCAGATGGTATGACTGGACCATCGCCGCGAAGTGTGGCAGCCTTGCTTCCTGTTGTTGTTTCTGGCCGTGTGTACTTGGTCACTCTGTTTGGTGAGCAGGATCCTAGTTCCTTGGGACATCAGGGTGCCGGAAAAATGTTGGGTGATGTGTGGTTATTTGATGTAGAGACCCAGCTATGGACCAAGGTTGAGGCTCAGGGAGATGAGCGCCCAGACCCACGGGGTTGGTTCGATGGCGATGTCCTTGGTAATGGCAGTATTGTGGTTCATGGGGGACTTGGAGAATCAAATAATCGACTGGGCGACCTTTGGACTCTCGAGTTTGTCTAATGTTTTGAAGAGATTTAGTTTTTCAAGAGAAAATCCCGAGGGTATTCAACATCAACAAAAAATGAAATTTGTAGGAGAATTATGGAGTTTTGAAAAGAAAATAACAAAGCTAAGAGAAGGTTATGCGTCATGAGCGTACAGCGAAAGCACAACAAGTCAAAAGGAAATCGTTTGTGCGTGCTATGAGGTCTTGAATCGTACAGTTGCCATATTTGCCTGCGCCATTCCGCAACAATTCATAAGAAAAGATAATTTGACAGAGCGAAAGAAAAGTCAACGAGTCGCACCATACACCAGCACCATGAGGGGAAGTCCGGCGGAAGGAAATGAACAAAAAAAGTCAATGACTGTCATCGCAAATCGGAAGCAAAAAAAAAAGGAGAATTGACATGAAACAGGAGAAAGACCTCGGAAAGACAAATAAAAAAAGTGTAGTAGTTATTGTGACAACTGACATCATGCACAGGAGAAGTGAAAAATGTTCTGCGTTAGAGTTCTACTCGTTTTTGGAGTATTGCTTAGAACATGAGAGAGCGGGTTTTCTGCCGACGTGCTTCGACAGTACCCATCTCGGGTTGAGAATGAGTGTGCTTGTGTCGAGGACGTGAGGATTGAGGCGCCGGCGCCCCAGACCCCGCAGAAGATGGAGGAGGTGCCATCATCGCACTGTTCCGGCTCCGAACAGGAGATGGCAGTGAGGCAGGTGCTGTGGGAATCCCAGTGGGCGGACGACGAGGCGCAGTCTCATTGCTGGCTTTCATGCTACGCTCACGCTTGAGCACAAGATCAGCCCAGGGTTTGAGTGCACCATTGCCGGAGCTAGAGCCCTTCCCAACAGCTTCAGACATGACTCGAAGCCAGCCCTCCTTATCTGCGGGGCTATCCGCATAGAAGTCAATCACTTCACCATTACCAAAACGGATGCGGAATCCCTCTTCAACAAACATGTAGCCATCCTCTTCTTCGGCGAATGCAGACTTGCGACGGGTACCGCCCTTCGTGTTGGTCTCCTTTTGAAGTAAAGAGGATCGATCGTCAATGAGCTTGGAGGCCTTGGCTAGATTAATGGTAGCACGAGGTTGGCGCGTTGTTTCGTGGAAGGCCGTTAACTTGGATCCTTGAAGCTTAAAGAAGCGACGGCGCCAGTACTATTGTGATGGATTAGTTTTAAATCGACGATAGAAGACTTCGTAAGCACTTACAGGACAATCTCCGCCCTGTTGGGAAAGGAACCCTTCCCAGCAGCGAGCTGCAACACTCTCTGCATCGCGCAATTCACGAATACAGGCATTCATGCTCTTCGGCATGTCTTCATCCTTGCTACCTTTCGGCTTAGGCACGAATAGAAGTTGCACTTCCAACTTTCCAATCTTATAAGGTGGTCGACGCTGCGTATTAATGCTAGTCGCACTCTTCTTGCTCTTGATGCTGCTCATCTGTTCCTCAACGGCCCATTCGTTGAAGCAAGCAACATCAACAATGTGGGGACGGCCAAACGCCTGCTGCTCGTGGTCGCTTAAAGCCACATAAGCGCGGCCAAAGCTACCATCACGTGCAACCAAGTTTCGAAGCCGTTCGTATACGGGAGCATTAACGTCCTTGGCCTTCTGTTGCTGCGACTGCATTTGTTGCTTAATGTCAAGCTCCTTGCGCCGACGTGGGGATGCAAATACACGGCTGAGGGCCGACGCCTTCTGGCGTGATGGCGATGATGCGGGTTCTTGGGTTTGGAATTTGCTCTCGTCAATCTTCATTTGCAAGGTCAACTGGAACTCAAGGTCATTCTGGACGATGAGCTCGAACTCTTGTCCGATTGGAGCTGACTTGCCCATCTCCAACCAGGAGGTGGTCACACAGTGCAGTCCGTTATCCAGGGTCAGTGCAAAATACGATCGTTCACCTACAGTTCGGTTAGTGACAGTCAATTGCAGTGGGTACTATGATAGGGTCTTACCCCGTGGGAGAGGAAGGTCACAATATTTGAGGCCTATGACCTTCACAAATAAACGACCTCGCTCTTCTCCATCTTCAAACGATTCGGAGATGGTTGGCTCGTTCTCTTCAATGGTGGCTGGAGCTTCCTGAACATTGCTGGGCTGTCCAGGGAGAGGTGGGACTCCACCTATGCCAGGGACGGGCTTTTTCTTCGGGATACCGGTGGCAGACTTGATACTTGGGCGTCGCGCTGAGCCATTCCAAGGGACTGTGGTCCAGGTCTGTTGGCTCGCCTTGCGTGGAGAAGATCCAGCGGAGCGTGTACCGTGCGGATCTTGGGCAGTGTGTTCGGCAGAAGGCATTGCTTCTTCTTCGTTACGGCTGCTGGCAATGATGACTTTCGTGTTCTGTCTCATGAGGTATCCTCTCTGTTTGGGGGTAGGAGAGTCAGCGGGGTGTGCACTAATTCCTGGGGTCGCGGGATCCTTGTGTCCTATTGCCTGGGAAGGCAGTAAGGAACTAGGGCTTTGGGAAAGGGCAAGGTGGAATGCAACCTTTTGGGATTCAATGACACGATCAAACTCCTTGTCCAGTCCAAATCCAAGGCTTTCTTCCTGGATACTGAAGGGAATGTCGAGTTTCAAACAACTACTTTGTCGCTGGGCAAGAGCTGCGGGCCCCAGCTTTGGTGGCAAGTCAATATTTTCATGTTCGGGATCCGACGAGTTTGAGTCGTTGGAGATCTGCTTAGTCAATGAAGGAGTGGGTAGAGCGTGTTGGCCACTGATCTGACGGCGGGTGGCAGCCATCGACTGGATATCCGCAGGGGTCAGTGAGGGCCTGGTCTTGAGGCCAGCACCGGGAGCTCGGATTGTTGCGACAGGGTCAGGAACAGACTCATCGGATGAGCTCTCATCATGTTCCGGCTCTAACTCCTCTTCCCCCTCTGCATCTTCCTCTTCCTGTTCTTCTTCTTCGTCGTCGTCTTCCTCTTCTTCGTCCTCTTCTTCATTGTCGTGTTCGATCGGATGACGAATGACAGAGTCTGGAGTAGACGCTTCGGAAGCTTGGTCCTGGTGCATCTCGGGGGTAAGAGGGCGTGCGAGAGACTGACGGATAGATGCCATATCGAAGGACTGGTTTTGAGGGGCGTTTGGCTCTTTGTATTCCTGGGCACCCTCGTTTGGCTGTGCGGGCTTTTCGGCGTCGGTGTGGGTTTCAGCATTGGGGGTAGTCTGTCCAGATTCTTGTTCATGACTATCATGCCCAGCGTGTTCGCGATCGGCGGCTTCGGCAGCAGAGCGTAGCGAGTAATTGCTGGCCTCATCGTACTTGGCCCGTTGGTCACGGGATGACAAGCTGTTGTCTGACCTGCTCTGATAATAATCCGTAATAGAGTAAAGGTCTTCATCGCGCTCTTCCTCTTTAATGATTACACTTGAGGAGTCATCATCGTCGGTCTCCGTGGATGGAATGGGAACATCAGGGTCATAATGGTCATAACGTTGGGGGCTGGAAGCAATTTGAGAAGAGGCATCTGAGCTGTCATCCTCATAACTATCACCTTTGCGGATTCCCCGCAAGATTGAGTCGCGAGAAATGCGAGGTGGAGAAAAGAAGTTATCCTTGGCATCATCTGCGTAAGTATCATCTTTCGATGCAAGCGTTTCATCTGCTCTAGGAAGCTCCAAGGTTTCCTCGATACTCTCGGCGTGGTCATCATGTGTCTCATCATCATCTCTCTCTTGCAGCATCATGAGACGGAGTCTCTCCTCTATGGACCCAGCGCCGGGGATATCAGACTTTGTATATGCGGCAGGAGCTGGAGGCGTAGGGAGCACACGCTGTCCCGCGCTGCCGATCTCAAAAGCGGCAGCGAGCTTATCAGCAGAGGACGGACGCGCGCCAGACATGCGATTGACCGATGGCAAAGGCGGGAGGGGACGTCGCTCGCCATTTGAGTCCAGCGACTCGACGCGTGTGTGCTGAGAAGATCCTCCTTCACGTGAAATAGGTCGCTCATCGGCGCTGTCTTCTTCGACGTCTTCGATGAAAGGATCGCTATCACTGTTTGTTGGGCTCATAAAACGCCAGTCTTCGGGCAACACAACAGGAGTTTTCTCAGCATCTTCCAGCGAGGCGTCAAAGCTATCATCACGCTCAATCGATGACTCGGCCTCAAAACTAAGATCCCCCTCTTCTTCGGACTCGTAGCTGTTCTCACGTGACTCAGATGCAACTGAGGAGAGATCCGGTGTCGTCATTTCATATTCGTTGATTTGAGGGGGGGCGTGATCAAAAGTGACACTCTTTGCATGTCGATGTCCAGCACTGCCATATTCGGACCAAATATCGTTCTGGGGATCGAATCCCTTGCCATACCGACTACCTTTGGATAGCGAGGACTTGCTTGGCGATGCTTGGTCTTTGCTCGAGGATGACGGGCGAGACATTTGGCTGGTATCTTCGTCGACTTGGGATTTCGTAACATTCATTTGGCTGTTCCGTTGCGGAGACCGCTGCGAGCCTAATGGTCTCTGGGGAAAGACCACCGAAGCCGGGTCATATTCTTGACCACCTTCGAAGAACTTGTTGTTATTTTTGACCTTCGACACGCGTTTCAAGTTTTCGAGCGACGGGCGCTTTGAGGGGAAATAACACCCCTCTGGATCGTATGGCGCTTTATTCTCGGCTCCCTTTGGGAACGGCGATGGGGAGTCCCGACCTTTCCAAAACAGGCGAGGGGAGGCATTGTTATTCAGAGACGAGACATCATATGCAGGCGATTCGCCGTGTGGCATCTGCTAGGTTGTTAGCATGCTTGACCACATGCAAAGCATCGCGTTGACAGTACCTTGGTAACTTGATTCCAGCTAGGCGAATTGCGCCTCTGGGCCATGGGGCTCACTTCGGAGAGTGGCCGTTGACCAGGTCCCTTAGCCATATTGACGTTGGGTTTGCTGGTGACTCAGGATGCGAAGTGTGCAATCGTAATACAAGACTAAGACAGGTGTCTATAATGTGTCAGTGTTTATTCACCAAGTCCTGATCAGCGAATGGGTTCACGACTGATGACGAAGGACATAAGGCAAACTTGCCCAGAGATCAGGTACCATACGTTTTTAATAACCAGGAGTCGCGTGGGAAATAGTTGCCAGCGAGTCCTGATATATTCGCTGCAAAGGCGTAAAGGCCGTGTCGATCGTGGCAAGAATGCTGCGGCAAAGCGAAGGTACCAAAACAAACCCAAGTTGGGTGTCTAGGTGTCAAACCAAGGCCGATAAAAAGGGGAAGGGATAACGAAGGGATACGAATGCAAACTCCCAAAAAGAAAAAAAAATAGCAGGGAAGAGCGACAGAGACAAAGAAAGAGGTTATTCAGAAGAGTAGCAGAAACAACGAAGCTTGATATGTCTCTCCCATGGATTTAAGTGGATTGTTACCCCAAGCAAGAAACTGTTGTTGCGGGAGTCGTCATGGCAACGGCGCGATTGTTTCAGCATCCCGTGACATTGCGTCAGGTGCCTCCGATCGGCGCTAGCCTACAAGTAGAATAGCCTCGCGGATCGTTTTCGATGTCAACATGCACCTACCACCTTCAACTGTTAAAAGTACCTAAATATAGCACAAGATTGAATATGTAGGAAAACTCGAATTTGGGTATCGGAGTTTCTTATAGAGTCCCACTATTCAAATGTGAAGCACAGCTAGAATTTGATGTATTGTTTCCTCTTTCTAACAAGTCACCATCGATAATATGTCAAGACAACCTTGTAATATGTGTGAGATTTGAATGGCAGCAAATATCTTCACCAATAGGGTAGGCATGGAGGGCTTTAAAATAGGGAAGGTATATCTGTAGAGCTCAATCCAAGGCAGGAGTTACTAGAGACTCCCAAGGTGCAGGCAAAGCTCACACGCATATATGAACTTAGACGAAAACAAAAGCCACGACAGGCCACTTCCTTGTCAACCCCTCTAGCATCCACCAGACTATTGTGGCTTTGAGGTCTGTAGTAGCATGCTGAATCCGGATATATGAACTCACCCGAGAGCAAGCCGCGGGTGTGAGTCCGCTCTTAATATGTAGGAATTTGGATGGATCCAGGCAACTATATATTCCGTAGTTATACATATGATTTACCTACAAATAATTCCTCTCAGCAATATGACAGATTACCTTGAGCTATTGGTTTTAGTTTCTGAGACGAATAGTCACACAGATTTAGCACAACAGAAAATATGAGAAGTGTTGGATTACTGAGACCACCAGTATTGCAAACAAACATCAACGAACATGTTTATGATGTACTGAGTCAGCATTTTAGTCACCTGACCATATGCCAAAGTTTATGATGTGCGCTAGTCTGAAAAAGGAATGGCGTTTTATCATCGCGGAAAAAAAACATCTGAACCTGTTCTGGCCTTCCTCTTCGATCATTCAGCGTTTTCCACTTCCGCGCATCTTATCGGTTTTAATTAGGTAGAATGCCTCTGCCAGCTCGCTCTTCGATATGTTTTCTATGTCAAACTAAGGCGACCCTGCTTGCCCCGTCGATTCTTCCGACGTCATGGCAGACCACACGAGGCATGGCCACCGTTCGATTGCGTCGCAAGGCTGCTCGGATGGCCCTGTCGCCCACTGTTTCCAAACCATCTCTTCCATCTCCTAACAAGCCACGACGGGAACGGGCCGGTCCCTTTGCCTCGATGAACCAGACCCAGGCACGGATTCGAGACACACCACGCACACGATCACAGGCGGCCCTCAAGCGTTCAGGGGAGGAGGGCAAGATGGAAAAGAAGGAGAGCCCATTGTACAGAGCTTTGAAGATGCAGACAACGTTGACAGCTGTGCCTTATGGTCGACGTTCCGCTATAAAAGCTCGACTTGCCGACATCACTAGTTTCGACCACTTCCCTCTCCTTCCCGCAGTTCGACAGTCAATATTCGGCCAGGCTCTGGCCGGTCTAACTGATGTTACCCCCACACCCATTCAAAGACTCGCGATTCCCGAATTGTTACTAGATGAATCCAAGAAGAAGAAGAAAGTGAACAAGGCGAATGAAGATGAAGAAGAATACAATTTTGACCAGTATCTCCTGGCAGCAGAGACCGGTTCGGGAAAGACTCTCGCATACTTGCTTCCAATTGTTGATGCTATCAAGCGTGCTGAAGTCCTCGATATAGAGGAGGAGAAAGTCCTCGAGGAACAAAAGGCGCGAGAGCGGGAGGAGAGAATGAAGAACAAGGCGTTCGATCTGGATCCCGAGGAGCCGCCAATGACAAACGCCGCTCGTCCTCGGGCTATCATCCTCGTTCCTACCTCCGAATTGGTATCTCAAGTTGGATCGCAGCTCAAAGAGTTGGCCCATACTGTCAAGTACCGCTCTGGCGAAATCTCATCAACTTTCACTCCCCGCCGGATCAAGAACACCCTATTCCACCCCGCCGGCATCGATATTCTAGTTTCAACTCCTCACCTTTTGAGCTCTGTTGCGAGATCGAATCCCAATATCCTCAGCCGAGTCACTCACCTTGTACTCGACGAGGCCGACTCCTTAATGGACCGCTCGTTCATCCCGACAACGTCCGAAATCATTGCCAAGGTTGCTCCGTCACTCAAAAAGTTGATTCTCTGCTCCGCCACCATCCCCCGCAGTCTCGACAACCAGCTGCGCAAGCGCTTCCCTGATCTGCAACGCCTGACGACCCCGAACCTACATGCCATTCCTCGTCGCGTACAGCTAGGTGTCGTTGACATTGAGAAGGAGCCATACCGCGGAAATCGAAACCTTGCCTGTGCTGATGTCATCTGGTCAATCGGCAAGGCAGGAGATAGACACGAACATACCGAGACATGGGGACCGCTCAATGCGTACATGGAGCCGAAGGTTAAGAAGATTATCGTGTTCGTCAACGAACGTGAGGAAGCCGATGAGGTCGCTAGTTTCCTGCAATCCAAGGGCATCGATGCTGTCTCGCTATCTCGCGACACCGATTCCCGGAAGCAACAAGAGACCCTCTCGCAGTTCACAGAGGTTAAGCTTCCACCGACTGCGGAGGAGATCATGATTAATAAGAAGAAGAACCGCGCCGCCGGAAGCATTCCCTTCGAACTTCCTGAGCGCCAAGAGCCCATTCGCCGCCTTCCCGACACAAAGGTTCTTGTCACTACCGATATCGCCTCCCGTGGTATTGATACCCTGGCAGTGAAGACAGTAATTCTCTACCATGTGCCGCACACTACCATCGACTTTATCCACCGACTAGGCCGTCTCGGTCGTATGGGCAAGCGTGGTCGTGGTGTTGTCCTGGTGGGCAAGAAGGACCGTAAGGACGTTGTCCGTGAGGTTCGCGAGGGCATGTTCCGTGGCCAGGCTTTGATCTAGATCCAGATCCAGACTCACGCGTGCGTGCATTTATCACATTGTATAAATCTTGTAACATACATGGCGTTGATTTGAGGTTTTGATTTTTTGGGGAATTGGAAAACGACTATACCCATTGTCGCGGTAGTCATTGGATCTTTGAAAGTATGTACGATATGCAATCATATATGATGAACCTAATTCTCCTCTTATATAACGACGTCTGAGTCCAATTGCATTGAAACAACTGTAAACGAATATTTTCATTATAACCTCACACGGGTATTTCCCGCGCCACCCTTCGCCAGAAGTCACATCTCTTCTTCAACTGGATCAGCTTCACGTTCTCAAGCCTATCACCCAAAACGACGAATTCCTCGTCTGTATGTAGTTCTGGCACACCTGGCTGCGAAGCGTTCGTCACCTTGTGTGCATTCGGGTCTCCCGTCTGGAAAAAACTCGCGAAAGCCCCCGCGTAGCCTTCATAAACGACAGGGTTAGTCTCTTGAACAGTGTTGATTTTGTTCCACTGGTATCAATCAAGTCAATCTATGCCATCGACACTAGGAAAGCCTCCAGAAAAAGAGAGAGCAACGATAAAAAGGACGAACATACATAAATAGTATCACTCCCATGGGTTGCTGGGGAAATCGTATATTCCCCAAGATACCCTTTCTCCGTCGCAGCCGACGCAATCCAATAAGCTGGACAAGCAAGCACAACGTCCCGATAAACCAAACCAGCCCGAATATAAGTATTATTATAACTGTCAATCGTCTCGGTACTCCCTTCAGCGGGATAATATATAGATTTCACCTCATCAATCTGCTTAGCCGACAACCCAGGCACGAAACTGGAAATCCACCGGTGAAAGCTGCTGACAGAGGAATCAAACCCATCGAATAAAACGGCGCTGTCAAGACCCGGAGGAACGAAGTTCTCACCCTCGTGGCTGTTGTACATTCCCCAGACAAACTCTGTGTTCAGGGAGCCCATGCTCACAGTTTCTGTGAGTGTCTCGACAAGGAAGGTCCCGTCTATAACAGGCGCCCAGGTGTAAGAACTCGTTGTCCAAGTGTTGCTCGCTCCGATGATCAGGCTTGCGTCACGGATTTTCTGGATGTCAACAGATTTGAGACAGGCGAGTATCTCATCAGCGTGGTTGTAGCTGGCACAGCCTGTTAGATTCGCCAGCTGGGTGTAGATTGCTTCTGCCTCGGGTGCATTGAATTTATAGGTCTTTGGCCAGAACGGCGAGCTAGCAAGGGCTTTTGAGAATAGTTTCGGTTGGCCATGGCGGCCATTTGCGAGGACTTGCGCCACTACCGAGCCGGCACCGGCTGACTGGCCCCATATTGTCACGTTGTGAGGGTTGCCGCCGAAATGGCCGATGTACCTCCGGACCCATTTCAAGACATATTGCTGGTCTAATAGGCCCGGGTTTAGATCTGAGGTCGACGAGTCTTTGATTGCCTTGCCGGGTAGAAACCCGAAGGCATTGACGCGATAGTTGGAGTAGATAACGATGTAGTCGTTAATATTGCTGACATTGAGGATCGGGAATGAGGATGGTGGCATGGTGAATGCCGCGGTGCCTTGAATGAAAGCACCGCCGTAAAATACAACCAGCACTGGTCTGCTAATATCTTTGGCTAGATCCCATGGCCGTGAGAATAGTCCCAGGTAGAGACAGTCTTCGGTGCCGTTAACCGTCCGCTGGGGGCACATGTCGAAGTCCTGGTCTGTATCATATAGGTCTCCGGTGATCTTTAGCGGTGGCTGAGGCGCACGAAAGCGGTTCTCCCCTGTTGGTGGTGCAGCAAATGGGATTTTGCGAAAATAGGAGAGGTTGTAGGTACTGTCATATTGACCCTTGAAGGATCCGTAGTCGAGGGAAACTAGAGGGTTGTCCCATGCAGTGCTGACTGTGACCACGAGGCCGAGGAGAAGCGTGACAACCTCATTGGAGAACCTCATCTTCGGTTAGAGCGGTTTTCGTTCTAGAGTTATTGTTCTATTCATCTGCCATCTACTGCGTTTAGCCTGGGGGCCATATATAGCCTTCCCGAGCCATCGCATTTGATAAGAGGAATCACTTTCGGCAGAGGAAACCCCGAGCTTCTTTGTGGCTCTCGAGCAATTCGGTCGACACTCTCGGGCTTGGCTGCGAGAGAGCAGCTCATTGGTGCAGTTATTGTTGATGCCCGGAATGAAATGTGGGGATTTGTGCAGTCGTTGTCAATTCGGACTCGATCACCCCGGTAGTGAGAAGAAAACCGTAGTTAGCTAACAAATCCCGAGGACACCTAACTAGTTATATTTATATTCAACACCAGGTCCACAATTAGTGTGTCAAAACGCAGCTGTCAAGGGAGTCCCCGTAGGAATAAAGCCCAAGTAAACATTGCCCCCTCCAGAATCCAACCCTGAAAATGCATCATTGCAAGAAATCAAAACTCCAGATCCAATTTCCATGCAATATAATGCCAATTAAACCAAGTATTATCACAAATGCCCATTCTTCTAAACCAAAACTCCGTCCTCGCCCGTCTTGCCTCGTAAATTGCACAGGGGCTCCAAGGCTGTACAGTTAAAACGCCATACGAAGTTCTCTAGTACGACGCCGACTTGCCCGAGCATCGCGGTGAGACTCAGTTGAATCACTGATTTCCCTTTCTGGGGTGTTTGTGTCAGACAGCTCGGGGGTGGGGGTAATCCCAAAACTCACGCCGCGGTCTCGGCGACAGATACGTGATTGTGCGTCGGGGGACAAAAAACGATGGACAGTGCGGTGATCCATTACTCGATCCTCACCATCCGGGCTTTTGTCCGTTGATGGCCACTGGTATCCGTAGAGCTTGGAATGACGTTCGCAGCGCGGACATTCACGTCGCGTGAGGTATGAGTTTGACTGGAGGAACCATGTATCACAGGTCTGGCACTCCACCCAGCGGTCGTACTTCTGGGCAAGCAATCGTGATGTCTTGGTATAGTCCCCAGGGACTCGAGCAACCTGTGACTCGGTCTCGACGGAGTCCATGATGAATCGCCGCTTGGTGCGAGGCTTTCGCTTTTTAGGCTTATTCACAATGGTGCCGTGGGCGTCATCTAATTTGGTGGAATTTGATAAGTCTGACAATCCTTCTTCGGGGTCAATGTCCATGGAGTGGGTGGTGACGGGCTGACCTTCAGGAGAGACATCGGGATGATCCTCACTGTTGAGCGCTTTCGACTCAGACGGTTCTAATATAGTTTCTTCTGTCTTGATCTTGGTTCCTATGTCGTCCTCAGTTGTAGCTGACGTCGACGAGCGGTGAGGTTGATCGGCTGTGGAGTTTGGAGATTCGCAGTCTGTGGGGATAGTAGAATTAGTGCTATTCGTCCCGTTTCGATCGGCTTGGGCAGCCACGCTTGGTTCCCCTGTGACAACCGAAATGAAGGGTTGTGAATTAGTTGGCGATGTCATTGCGGTTCGCTCTATGATCTCTTTCTTCGGCTCGGACACCTGGGCTACAGCTTCCGTCAGAAGAGTAGCTGGAATCAGTACAGTGTCCGGGATAGGGATGTCATCTGATCCGGGCGTTGGTTCCGCAGTAAGTTCGGAAACTGAGATCCCTTCTCGCAACTTAGAAACTTGTCGTTGGAATTTTGCACGTTTGCGCGGGGTGGAAGAAGCCAAGGTAGAGGAGCTGTCGGATTCCTCCACATCCGAGCTGCGTCCACGCTTCCTGCTCGCATTGCTGTCTTCACTCGGTGTATCTTCAGACACGGGGCTGGCCTCTTTGCTGTTTGTCTCCGTATCAACATGTGAAGACCAGCCATTCCGTACAGCGATTTCGCAAGTATGACATAGGCACTCGCAGTTGTCAACGCCAAAGTAATCCTCTCCGTAGGAAACTGTGATCTCTTCCCCCTCGTGGATGTCGCGCATGGCTACGACAGACATGCCCTCATTGCCCCTGGTTGTCAAGCTGCCGTTGGCATCACAATCATGATTGGCAAAACGAGCAGGACCCAAAAAGAACGATGGAGCTTTACGGCGACTCGACATCACGATGCTGAAGTCTTTGCGGGTCAAGCCGAGATCCAACTCTTCTTCATGGGTCATAGACACAAGCGTTCCGCTCAGGTGTTTGATCTCCTCGCCCTTTTTAATAAACCTGCGAGCGCAGATCGCTGCTTCATGTTGCGTGATAATGTATCGATTGGTCGTAGTGACCTCGAACGGACAGTCTGGAAGATACATCTGAATATACTTGCGGAGGTGTCGGCGGAACCACTCCTTCTCTCGAGGGCTATGGAGGTTTGCCACATATTTCTTTAAGCCCGAGATTTCCAACAACTTGCGTTCGGCCGTCGGGATGTCCTTGTCAACAATGACATTGTGGAGAAGAATGCGCCCAATATCGTCATCGTGGATTCCGCGGGCAGGGCTGTATTTCGTGCGGTTCTTGCGGGTAGTGGTCCAGAAATAAGCCTGCCAGTAGCAAGTATTAGTGGACAGATATCTATGTTGAATTGTAGGCAAATAACATACGTGATCCACTAGCGCATCCGTTGCGACATCGTCATAGCTGGCCAGCTTAGCCAAGGTCAAGCGCTCGCGACGTTCAGCGGCGGGCGAGCCCCTTCGCGCTCTCTTTGGAGGCATCATGGACGTAAGAAGAAGCCGAAGACCGCTAGTTATGAAAGCGGGAGAGAAGAAGTCGGCTCATAGAATGCAGAGCGGCTGCAAAGGTAATTGGGGGAACAGTGGAGGGCAGAGGTCCGAGGGATGGGGTCGAAAAAAGGTTCGAAGCGCAAGAAAGTAATTAAAATGAGTGACTGACAATCAACAAAACGAACATTATCAAGTGATTGTCACCATTGAGGCTGTTCCAAGGAGAAAGGACTCCCTCGCGGATGTTTTTTAGGGGTGGAACGGGAGTGCCAGCTGAGACTTGCCGTTCTCTCGACTTTTACTCTTCCGCCTTCCCCCTTGACGTGTCGCTTTTTTTTTTTTCTCTGCGGTAATTGGATATGAAGTAATTGATCAATGGAGTATTTCAGTACGGGGGTTGTTTCGACTTGATTTTACGCGCTCAGCTCGCATACAACAGGATGATCCAATCCTTGCCCCTGCGGTATCATCACAATTGCACCCAAAATAATCTTCCAGATCAAGTGATCATTGTTTTTCAGTCTTGTTCATAGAATGTATTGTATATTATCCTTCGATGGGTATTGACTGTATAATACCAGCCAATCTGCTGAAGAATTCAATGGATCCAACTATGAACATGGGATGCTCTCTTTCGTGGGCTTTTTAAGGAATAACCCGATGGTTTCTCGAGCTTAGGTTTTTCTCTGTGTCCCTCGGAGTATATAAAAGTCAACCTTCAAAGAAGACAAAACAAAGACTATAAAGATCTGAATGCGGGATGTTGCTGAACTATAAAAGTAGTTGGTTGATGTCGTATGGATTGAATTAAGAAAATCCCACGTAGGGTGTTGCTTAAAGTCAGAATAGATACTCCATATGATTACTATACTAAACAGCTCAGGGTACTTATGTTATGAACAAGCGGCGCTTCTTGTGCTTGCTTACGACATTAGGACATACCCATGGCTGATATATATTGGAGAATCAAACGACAGCCATTTATGAGCACAAGCTCAAATTAGTCTGGTATTTGCAAAAAATGAATAGTTGCGCGATTCCATTCTATTTTCATTCTAATTCCATTCTCAGGAAATCCAACTCGAAGTCCTAATAACCAACTACTCCGTAGTATATTGTATAAAAGCCCGGATAAACCTACTCCCCGGCGAAACCTCCCTCCGGCCCGCGAGAACAAATTGCGGACAAGCACTTATCTCCAGACCGAGTACCAAAACACAATGATTCAATTAAAGGTACGCATGCGATGCTCCTTAGTGGCTCAAAGGATACTAACACCAGCTCCGCCAGACACTATTAAGTTGCATCGACAATTCCGGCGCCTCGATCGTCGAGTGCGTGAACGTCCTGAAGAAGAAGCGGCCCGCGACAATCGGTCAGTCTCCATGGCACTCAGATCTAGCAACACAGCAAGAAGGGATCTGGGAATTAAAGCTGACATTGTGATTGGTTATCTAGGTGACCGGATAGTCGTCGTCGTTCAGAAGCAGCGATCTGCAGGCTCCGAAGCCACCACCGCTGCCGCGCTCGCCAATAAGGTCCGCCGAGGTGATATTCGTCATGCCGTTGTTGTTCGCGTGAAGAAGGAATTGCAGCGGCCTGATGGGTCCCTTGTCCGGTTTGGTGATAATGCTTGTGTACTGGTCAACAAGTCCGGAGATCCCATTGGGACGAGACTGAACGGTAAGTGCCCATCGGGGAGTCTCAAGATAACGGCTGTCTCCAGGTTTTCGATACTGATATCTCTACAGGTGTGGTGGGACAAGAGCTACGGAAGAAGCAGTGGTCCAAGATCTTGTCATTGGCGCCGATCCATGTTTAGTATTTTCAAGTTTCTACATTTGTTGGAAAGCGCTATTTGTTTCTTTGATTGTACTTCAATCTGTATGTATTCCTAGTTGATGGCATCAGTTTCACCCCCTGTTCCTAAATATCCACGAATTTTCATCCTGTTCCTGCTCCAAAATGTTCGCCGAACTCCTATGATATCGCCAAAAAAAAACGACAAAAACAAAATCTCAAGGGTATCTCGGAAATGGAGACTGCATTACAGAAATGCAAAGATCACATGTAGACTTGTCCGCACGCACAACATACGTAGTAGAGTTTCTGAGTAGATAGAAGCAGGAGTCAGCGCATGGTTTATATCAGAGGGTCAGGGATCCATCAAAGGGTAACTTCTCACCATTCCCGTTTCGGCGGATCGTTGTTGTGACTGGAAAAAGACGGCTTCGGTTTCGCCACAGCTTGGGCAGAGCTTGTTGGCCCGTGGAAGCTGCAAATCCCAGGGTGTTAGCGTATGGATGCTCAAAAAAAGGTACAGAGCTGGGGTAGATGCCCGAGGCTTGATTTCAGAGGGCTCCAGGCTGTCACCCACAGGCGGTGCATCCTCAAGGAGATCCTCGTCCGGGGCGGAACCGCAGATCGAACAAGCATAATATCACCGCATAGGGTAAAAAAACCAGGAGGACGAACCGTGGGGTCAGATGTCACGTCCTGGGTGACACCGGCAGTGTCACCGACTTGGCTATGGAGATGGTTTTGGTAGACACAGTGCGAGGAGGCAGGCTCGCCGACATGGCAGGTACGGCACGTGAACATCAATCGGTTGTTGACGCGATCTTCCTTGGGGTAGAGCAGGTTGGAGCTGTTGAAAAGTCAGTAAGATGTCCTCGAATGTGTAAAGGTTCCCATAGAAATGACTTTTGAGTTGAGGACTTGTGGATAGGCTTACCATTCACGGCAGAACTTGAAATGGATTCGATCCGACGGCTTAGTCTCGCCACCAGCCGTGGAAGAAGGGCTGGCAGACATGCTGCACAGGTGGATCGCAAAATGCTAGACGTGCTGTATTGAGGGTCGAGACGCAGAGTGGTCTTAGATGTGGGAATGAGGAAAGGAAGAAAGGAAATCACGTGGAAATCACGTGTTTTGTGGATGGTGAGGTGTGAATTCGCCTGCCCCGTAGTTAACTAACTACTCCGTAACTAATACAGAGTACTCCGTAGCTAATTCCGTGTATATGACTCACCTCAACCTAGCGCATTGTCGGCCTTCCAAGATTGGAATAAAAGAGTCAATAATGAACCTACCAATTACATCGCTTTGTCTATTAACAGGCCCAGGCATGACAGGATTGATATCGAATTACGTATAAATAAGCAATATACTGACGTACAGGTATTAGGACCTAAATTGTAGCTCGTCTTTATTATTGCGAGCTCCCCTATAACTACGTAATGTATTATTGATGTAGATAGTTGTCATAGATGGTGATCGGTCAAACTGGGAAGCGGGAGAGCTAAAGCTTGGACATGTTTGTGTGGTTTGCAACTGTTCACCCCGCAGTTTCCGTTCACTTATAACTGACTATATCGTTTTATCGTTTACACTAAATCCGTTGGAGTGTTATTGATCTGTACATTATTATTTACTCAGAAAATTATCAGAATCTTTTAGATCCGATTGCAAAATGGTAGGATCAGTTCATCCCTTTGAAAGTTTGCATAGCTGACTCTTCGACCTAGGCCGACACAGGTCTTCCTACCGGTTGGGAAGTTCGCCATTCCAACTCTAAGAATCTCCCATACTACTTCAACCCTTCCACAAAAGAGTCTCGCTGGGAACCACCTGCGGAAACTGATACCGATAAGCTGAAAGTCTATATGGCGCAAAACCACACCCCGGCTGCTCGCTCTGATCCCTCTGGCGAGGGTGAGGGCAAGATCCGCTGCAGCCATTTGCTCGTCAAGCATCGCGATAGCCGCCGTCCCAGCAGCTGGAGGGAGGCTGATATTACTCGCACAAAGGAGGAGGCGATTGAAATTCTTAAGGGTCACGAGCAGCGCATTCAGTCTGGAGAAATCACTCTTGGTGACCTGGCAGTCGCTGAGTCCGACTGCAGCAGTGCCCGGAAGAAGGGTGATTTGTGAGTTTCTTAATTGACCTATGTGCAGGTGTCTTGCTAACTCCTTAAAGGGGTTTCTTTGGCCGCGGCGAGATGCAGAAGGAGTTTGAAGATGCCGCTTTTGGCCTACAGCCTGGCGAAGTCAGCAGCATCATTGAGACAGCATCCGGGGTTCACCTTATTGAACGGTAGGTTCACCCACGGGAGTGAAGTGAAAATGGCTAATAAAGGTTCTCGGTCTCCAGTGTCCAATAATCGCATGCTCCCGCCTATGTCTTGGTCAATTCCATAGCGAAAATTCCGATCGCATCAATGCGTTGCAAACCCTGGTCTCACTTGGAATAATCTTCATAAGAAATAAAAGTACAATGAATGAAATGCCATCTTTGTTCTCTTCTGACTTATGAGTGTCTTGTGTCCTGTCTCGGGTAGGACCAATCAAGTAGCAGAACCCGCGACAGCCTTTTATTCCAGAAAGATGCCAATGTATCGGTTTGAAGATGATGTCTCCAAATGCCCAGAATTTGTGAAAGATAATCTGTATCACAACAGGGCTATGAAGTTTGTCGTTTCTTTGGATCCAAGAAACAGAGTGAAACTCGAAAATGTGCCTGATATCATACCTAATCCCTAAGTCTAAAGTAGACTCTGCCTTAGGCTAACAATGGCACTTTTAGGCTTAGTAGCTATGATCAACGGAAGGTTCCATGGTTGGAAAGGGAAGTTGAGAATTAAAATAAGCTGTATACCGTCGATGTCAGAATAAGATGTCAAAGGTCATTGAGCGCAAGCAAAACACTGCTCTTACAGACGAGACATCTCCCAGTTTCATCTACTTTTCTTCCACCATATTTCCTGTCACTCTTTCCTTCTTCCTTCTCACCCACAATCTCTCTTTACCACTTCCCCCCAACAATCTTTTCTCATACAGCCACCAACTATGAGCAACCCCACTCTCAAACTCCGCCAGAAGCGGTCCATGATGCGCCTTCTTAATGAAGGCCGCTCGATTCTCGAGTATAAGTTCGACCCAAGCGCCTTCGTCGTCCCCCGGTGGATTTTAGTGCCCCACGAGGTGCGCAATGCCATGGTCGCCCTCCAGTACAAAGCTATGGTAGCCGTATATGGCATGAAGAGCCTCATGGTCACCCGCGACCACCGCTACTTCAAGTTATGCCCCAAAAGCACAGGCCCCATTATCTACCAGCTCCATCAATCCTCCATGCATCGTCTCCTGGAATGGAAGGAGGATTGGAGTTTCGCCAACCCGACCCTTGCAGCCGCTGCCAAAATCCCTCGTGATGTCCTGCAGTTCTGCGTTGACTCAATCGCCTACGGAAAGTTTACCTGTGATTACACCAACAAGATTGACGGTTTTATGTCTGGTGCTTTCCAGAGTTGGCGCCAGCTTCGCATAGAGATTGGGCATCTGGCCTTCCGTCTCATGAGCCATAAACCGCACGAGTACAATAAGTGGCTTGTCTGGTGGGAGGGCAAGTTTGCTGATGACATGTGGAGATGGGAGGTTTGCCTCGAGGGCTTGATTCTGCCCACCTGGGAGGAGATCATCGATGATGTCTACCTCATGATCAACGATCGAGTTGAGGATGCCCAGGATCTGGCCAACACATTCTACGTCAGCACCCCGGGACTCGCTTCGACCGGGCTCTGATCACCTGGGCTTTGACTTTCTGCAATGATGATTAATGAATATCTCAACAATTACGACAAATATTGGTCTGGGTCGGCGCTAGTATGGAGCGGCCTGCTGTGAATGAGGGCACTAGAAATAACCGGGAGTTTTGATTTGATTTTTTTTCCTTCTTGAAATACAACAAACTACAGAAAATGTATCCTACGATGGATTGTGACAACTAAGGGCAAATGCACCATGGTGGACTTGGCTCTGCAACACACTTCTTTCCTGACTTTCTGTTACTTGAGATTATTACAAGAAGCTACTCAAATAATAAGCACCCAATTATCTGATATAATTGCTCAATGAAAGAAAGTAAAACATTTGATTTGCCTGTCAATGGTCACGTGTGCGTTCGAACCCTATCAATAGTAGCAGCCCTATGGGGGAACAAAGTAAGTAGGTGCCTTGTTATTGTTCGTTTTCTGCAAAAGCAATAAGACAAATAAACTAGACAAGGGAAAGCCAACCAAAAAGAAGATAAACCCGGAGTCGAACCGGAACAGTCCAGGTAGTGGATCTTCGGCACTTCCCTCGAAGTGCACATGCAAATCATGTTACCAGTAACTGTTGAGTCCTCAGTCTGAGCTTTATATTCCCTTTCTCTCTCAATTTTCAAAGTTTATTTGTGTACACACAGCACTGGCTAAAGAAACCCTTGGAAGGAAAGGACAGAGAGAGCGACCAAGTCCAAGCCCACAGAAACACATGGTCTTTGTGCAATTTGTGATGGTACTGATTCTTTTCTTTCTTGTGAAGAGTACCTCGATGAAGGAATTCCCGACAAGGAAGATTTCAGTTCCGGAAACGAAGAAGGATGATCTATTGTGGGCCTCTCCTTTAGGTCTAAACGCCTGACCAAAAGCTCGGAGGACCGATCATTGCTGTTTTATGGCTTAGTGCAGGAGAGGAGCACTACCCAACAGGACAATACGAGATATATGAGGGGCGGACCGGAAGATATTGTCAAACATGTTATTATGTTATAGACTGGGCCAGTTTCTAAGAAGTATTTTGTTCTAGTGAAATTCACTTATTATTTAGGGGTCATTCCAGCGAACAGCGTCACATTATTGCGTAGATGGGAACAGGATGAAGTGGTGTTGACCCATGAAAAAGAGCAGCCGCCTGAGGATATCTAAATCAACCAGGAGGAATGGAGATATAGGCCACAATTGAGATGTTGTAACCTTTAACGGCTTAGATCTAGCTGAGGACAACCTGAGGTTCAGGGTTTAAAATTCGAACAGTGGCTCGTCTCACGAGCCTTGTGAATTAATGCGTAATAACATACTCCGTCAATGTGAAAAACTACATCCCCCGACAACATGCAGAGTAGACAGCTCATAGACTCGTGTTCAATCGTTCCAAACGTGAGGTAATCGCGTCAATAACAGCGGATCTTGAAGAACGTTAGTCATTGATTCATTAATAGGAGAATAAAAGAGGCAACTCACTCTCGTTCGACCATCCTCATCGCATCTGCAACCTTAGCCCGTTGCAGTCGTTGGGGCACCTTAGGCGGGCCCCCAGGAGAGGACGGGGTTCCAAGTTCCGGAGAGGGCAATTTGCCCGCGACAGACTTGGTCTGGGCCATAAGATCCAGAGCAAGTCGTTTAACCTAGATGAAATGTGAGTTTTGCTATGGCGAATGCAAGAAAGATAAAACTTACAGTCTCCAACCGCGAGATCAATGGCTGATCCCCCTCTTGCTCTTCGCCTTGCTGTAAGGATGCAGACAATGTCTTCACCTCAATTATCCATGCCTTCTCCCTCTCACTCAGAGGACGACCTCCAGAATTTAGGACCTTCGTGCGTAGTGCCTCATATCGTCGGTTCAGTTCACTTTGCTTGTTCTGGGCGGCTTGCAATCTTTTATCCAGCGCTTCTCCATTTCGTACTCCGTCCTTGCGATGCCCATCTTCCCCAATCTCACTCGTGACACCCTTGACACGCTCTGCAACGTCTGCAAGCTGCTTCAATTGGTCCTGCATCTCGCCCTGCAGCCGCTCACAGCGGCGGAATAAATCCGAAGCAGCTCGCTCAAGAGCATTGGTATGAGCAGATAGCACGCGATGCGCAGTGGCCACAAGATCCAATGTCGCAGGAGACAGGCGAACTTGCTCCTTGAGCGTATGGCGTTGCCGATGCGGGACATGCTTCTCGACGAAAGAATCCAGCGGAGAGTTGGCATAGAAAATGGCGGGAACCTGATACGGGGCCCGGCTCGGCGACAAAAGAAGCGAGCCTGGCGCTGAGGCTCTGGGCTCATACAGTGATTTGTCTAGTGCCAAGGAGAGAGAATCTTCTGGTGTATCCATTACAACTGCATAAGGGTTAGATGGATGGTAGGTGAGGAGCAAGTAGCCAATGTCAAAGTCATAGAAAACAAGAGACGTGGCAAGATGTTCGTTTTGCGCGGTAATATCGGCATTCGAAACCTGCAAAATTCTCTCTCGGTTGGTCACATTCCCGTCGCATAGAACCTGGAGACGGAAAGCGGAACCTGCAGTGTCTTCAGCTTGCAACTCAGCCTCCAGTCTCTGTACCCAACCGGAGAGAGATATAAACACCACGTTGGTGGCAGTGGTGACAAAGAATGAGTATCGAGAATGGATATCCTTGGTGAAAGTAGGCCATGAGGTTGTTTCCTCCCCATCCTTGATCGTATCTAGTGATTCGACCAGGACCAATTCAGTCGGCTCTGAAACAGGAGTTTGGAACGCGTTCTTTCTAGCTTTAGGTAGCCATTGTCCTTCAACGCCATCGAGCTCTAGACAGATGTGAACTCGGCCATTCCCACTAGTAAGAGAGAGAACTGTTGCCGAAAGCTTATCTTGGTCCCCAGTTTCCACGGCTAATTCTTCTTCCTCGCCCATCATGAGATCCTCGACGTTTAGACTGGCGGCAATAACAAGAAGATCACAAAGATCCAAATCATCGAGCTCATCGCCAGTTTCGAAGCGGAAAGGCCCTTGTAATCTTGGAATAGCGCTAGGATTGGCCGGGCGCGTGAACACATCTGCGCCTTGAATTGTTCGTGATCCAGAAGGCGCATCCAGAGGTTCTTGTTCATCAAGCTCAGAAAGCCAGTCATACTGTTGCCGGCAGGCAATCAGTTCCTCCTCCGATTCCTGGGATTCCTGTTCTAAAGCACCGAGTTTCGGAATAATCGCTGCAGAGAGGGAAGGGATGGTCGTAGAAGGGGCTTGCCACTTAAAAGGCAACAGAGGACAAAGCGCATAGAGATCACCGGGTCTCATGGCTACCCACAGGGTCATAGGCGCCCACGCATCTTCTTTCTCATTCCCATTGCCAGCGAAACAGGCCGACGCAACCTCCATATCAATAACATCAGCGGAGAATCCCTTGCTTTTGCCAAATCCAGAAGGCGCGAAGTCCTGGTCGCACGAGGTCCCATCGACAAGTTTCTTCAGATCGATTGCTAGAGTCGGCTGGTCGAAGGACCAGTGGTTATTCCGGTCCAACTCCCAGACACGTACTGCAGCGTCAGCCGTGACAGTAACAATGCAGCCTCCTAAATTGGTGTGCAACCCCAGTGGATGCCATAGCGCAGAGACCACCGGAGCCTCAGGAATAACATGGGTTGTCGGTCCTAACTGATATGTCTTCAGCCGGATAGAGTCGGAGTCGGAGGACGAAAGGTGTGAAGAATCGGGAAGAACGGAGATATGAACGGTGTGTTCAGTGACTATGGCAAGGAAGGCGCCATTCGGAGAGGGGATGATCTGTTTGATCTGTCCATACACGGGCACTGCTAAGACCTGCGGAACTGTTAGTCGCATTCAATTTAAGTCGGATATTGGGTGGAATAGCTTTGCATACCCTGTAGGGAGGAACCTGGCTGAGGTCAATTTGCTCTTCAGCTTGACTAGCATATCCCTTTTTCTGCTTAATCTCTTGTTGCCATTGGTCTTTGAGTCGGGCAAGGTTTGACCACCGTATTTCATTGTCAACAACAGCGAACACCTCATTGCCTCTCTTGGCGATCGTTCGTGTAGCTCCATTTCTCATGGGCTTGGATCCAGTTTGCAGGTCCTCCCCTGGGCTCTGGGCTGAACTGCTAGACAGGAACTTTGCGCCAGGTGAGGGCCGGCACAGCCAGGCAGGCGCATAACTGTTGACCTTCGGCATTAAGGACGATTCGTAAAATAAATTGTATAATCGGAGGGTGTTGACAGTTTCAGATCATCCTGGGGCGGTCGGAAATAGCAGACGAGTAGCGTATGTGGGAAAAAAAACAAAGTTGACGAAAGCAAAGTTGTTGATGCGGAGTGGAATTCTTGGGTGCCAAGATCTTTCGAAGAGCTCCGAGCTGCTTTGCTTCCCCAACTACCTGCCGTCAACCACACACTCCAAGTTCAACCTTTATCTCAATTCACTATGAGTTTGCTGGCTGTAAACACGGTCGACCGACTGGATCGACCAAGCGCCTACTACGTCAGCAAGGTGAGTACTCGCCCTGGACTGACTGCCCTTTACCAAGCTGTGTCGAAACCAGTCCAAATAGGCTATAGAGGCTGAACAAACTGTCCACAGAACAAGCGACGCAGATACAATGATCGTGAGGAGGAGGAACCGCAGCAACAGGAGAAACCCGATGACAAATTGAAAAATGCGACAACCCTCTACGTGGGAAATCTGTATGCAAGCATGCAATAACTTAGACGCAATTGTCTTACTAACCAACCCAAGTTCGTTTTATACCACCGAGGAACAGATTCATGAACTCTTCGCCAAGTGAGAATGCGCTTTCGAGTCTCTTCGAATTATGATTAACCTCGAATTCTAGGTGCGGCGAGATCAAGCGACTTGTAATGGGCCTCGACCGATTCAACAAAACACCCTGCGGCTTTTGCTTTGTCGAGTATTATACCCATCAGGATGCGCTAGATTGCTTGAAGTACATCGGAGGAACCAAGCTGGACGAGCGGATCATTCGGACAGACCTTGAC